GGCTCTGTGTCATTGAATTAGCCTTTCACCCAGGTGCTTGGCCTCCTGCCCAGCTCAGGTTTTGCTTGTGGGCTAACCAGGGATGTGTGTCAAACAGCCTCCCTTGCCTCAGCCCGCTGGCCAAAACTCAGGGGCACTGATGCCATTTCCTCCCCGTCTTCCCACAGGTACGTCTCCTGTGTGCTTGGATGCCCCTATGAAGGGAAGATCTCCCCGGCCAAAGTGGCTGAGGTGTGTGTGAGCGCCAGGGCGGGGCTTTGGAGAGGGCTGGCTGCCTTGCCTGCCCCTGCATGCAGAGGTTCCCCTCGCCACCCTGATGTGGTGGGTCACTGGTTTCCCTCATTCATGCCCCAGCCCTCCATCCCAGGATGAAAGCCGCCTCTGGAGTTTCCAGGCTGGTCAGTGGGTGGATGATAATTGAGGCAATAATCCTTTGTGCAGTGGCTCCTCACCCAAGGGTCCCCGAGGTCCCCTGTAGTCAGAGAGGCAATGGGACACCCTCTGAGCAACAGCCAGGTCTGAGAACACATAGCGGGAATTGAGTTTCAGCAACACAAGAGCTCATGGCACTTAGTCCTCAAAACCAGCCTGCAAATTCAGTATTGTTGTTGTTAGCCCATTTTCCAGCTGAGGAAACTGAGACTTATTCATTTGCCACCCAGGTTCCCAGGGTGCACCTGTGTCTCAGCCCCCATCTCGTTTACCTCCAGAGCCCGCTTGCTTTTCCCTCAACACCATGACAGCGTGCGAAAACAAGGAGTGGTAACAGTCACGGCTGCTGATTGAAAGGGAGCGTATGCTCCCGATCTCAGCCTCCTGTTGCCACTGTAGCCCTTCAAAGCCTCATCACCATTTTTTAGAAGCAAAAACTGAAGCTCAGAAAAGTCAAGTTCCTTGCCAAGGCCCCACAGCTAGTGGGATTTGCATCCATGTCACTCCAGAGCCACTCCTTCGGCTGCACCCTCCACCCCCGCAGGCCGCTGGGTGCCAGTCACTGCTCTCACCACTCCCCTTGTCCACAGACCATGGCCAAGTGCCGTCCAGCTCCCTGGCCCTGGCATGTCCTCCCTCAGCTGCATAGCACATAGAAGTGTCTCCCTATGTCAAGCATACACTCTGGTTTTGCAGTGATTTTAGGGGTCTGCCAATGGGCTTCTAAAAATTTAAATAGTTTTGTATTCCTGTCAAAAATATAAAGCCAGCACTTCAGACCCGTGACTTCACAGATCAAAGATAAAGCTGCAAGGAAGGGGTCCACTTCACTGCTTCTAGTACCTGGGTCTGATGCACTGTGTGAAGGGGGAGGCTCGGGTGGGAGGAAGCCAGGGTTGCAGCCCCAGGGTCTGCCCTGTGGCAGCTCCCTACGCCCTGGTCTTCTGATGAGGAGCATGGGGAGTGATCCCATTCAAAGTTGTCAGGAGCCAGCAACCCGGTCTGTCTACCCCGTCATGGAGGTGTTTTGCACAGGCCACAGACCCCACTTCTGCATTCTATGCCACTTGGCTTGGGAGCCTGTATCCTCCAAGCGCCGGCTTGTTTTTCTCAGGTCAGTAAGAAGATGTATGCAATGGGCTGCTACGAGATCTCCCTGGGGGACACCATCGGCGTGGGTACCCCTGGGGTCATGAAGGAGATGCTGTCTGCTGTCATGCACGAGGTGCCAGTGTCTGCCCTGGCCGTCCACTGTCATGACACCTATGGCCAGGCCCTGGCCAACACCTTGATGGCCCTGCAGGTAATCCAGGCATGTCCTAGGAGAAAAGCACGCATCCATTCTCATGATGAACACAGATGAGTGACGCTGCCCCAGAAGTTCTTACATCTGTGTATTAGGGGCAACAATGAAGGGGTTAGGTGACCATCCTAATGCATTATGAGAAATGCCACAAAGGGAGGAAGCATGGGGCGGAGGGAGGTGCCCATCCTGGCTGGGAGGGTAGGGAGGTGCTGCCAGAAGAGGCTTGAAGGACATGGAGAAGTTCAGCAGTCGAGCAGGGGAAGCAGAAAGGCAGCTTGGCAGCACTGCCCAGCAAGGCCGAGGCAGGGGAGGGCTGGTGGGCCCCAGCTCTGGAGTAACATGCTGGGTAGGGAGTATGCAGACACGCCTCTGTGCAGAGCAGCAGGCTGGGCTCGGCGGCGGGGCGAGCCTCTACTGCCGATTTCCGGAGATTGAACTGAGACCTGAGATCGGGCTCCCCTTGAGGTTCGCTTCTCCTGGGCTGGCTGCCCTGTGGAAGCGAGTTCTCAGTGTCTCCACCAGCTGCCTTGCAGGAGGGTTAGTCTGATTCCAGCCTGTTGTCTTCAGGTTATAGAGCAACCTCGGGCCACTTTTTTTCCCCCACTCCCATCTTATCTCCTATAGGCCAGTGTCACAGATGATTCGATTACTTTCTCTTATTTTCTCAAGAGTTGTGGTTGTCAAGGGTGAAATCTGTTAGAGCTCTAAGGAGAGATGAGAAAGTCAAACATAACAAAACACCACCATCCAGGCGAGTGGCAGGTGACTGACCTAGGGAAAGGGTGAGGTCCCTGGGGTTAGACGGCAGCCTTGTGGGGGAGGGTGTGCGTAAGTGAACTGGGATCCCACGTCTCAACAGTGGGCGAGGCTTGCTTTAGGTCAGTGATCAGGAAGGGCCTCTGAGGAGGTAGCTTTTAGGCCGAGACCTTCAGGGTGAGAAGGAGCCTTGAAACCCCTGCAGGACCTGAGGGGGCACATTCCTGCAGAGCAAACGGTGTCTGCCGGAAACTCATGCTGCTCCCGGAGCTAAGGAGAAACTCTTTCAGTGGGGTTTTCACTCAGAATCACAAACCCAAGGAATGACTACCAGTGGCATTTCTGGCAGCAGACAGCTGGCAGGTTTCTAAGGACCAGCTTTGTAGGCTTTGGTCCCACAGCCAGAGCCGTGTTTCACTGTCCTTACGTTTCTAGATGGGGGTGAGCGTCGTGGACTCTTCCGTGGCAGGACTTGGAGGCTGTCCCTATGCACAGGGGGCATCGGGAAACTTGGCCACCGAGGACCTGGTCTATATGCTGTCAGGCCTGGGCATTCACACGGTGAGCCTGTCTGTCCCCTGTTGTGACAGCCATGAACAATCAGGGCTCTGCCCGAAGCCAGAGGATGGAAGCTGCTGGGTTCGTTTAGGGTTATTGTTATTTCCGGGGGGAAGGGGAGCAGTTAATAGGGTGCCAGGGGATTGTTGTGTGTTCTTGAGAACAGAGTGTGAGCGATTGGGCCTCGAGAAGGCCAAGCTGTCCTGCAAGATCGCTGCTTTAGTTTTGAAAGGCACCAGGATGCAAGGGGGCGCCCCAAAAGGGGCGAGGTGCGTAACCTGACATGAGTCAGTCCTCTCTAGACTTCATTCCCTGTCAAATGAGGGTAGTGGGATGAGATGGCCCCTGGGACATTCGTTGAGGATGGGAAGCATAGCACCTGTGCTTTAGGCTCAGAAGTCACTGGGTTTAAAACTAGTGCTGCCACTCACAGGCTGTGTGACCTGACAGAACACTTTACCCCTCGGAGCCTGAGAAATGGGATAACAACACCACCTATCTCATAGGGCCAGTATGAGGATGAACTATGGGAATGTAGAATGCTTAGCCCAGAGCCGAGCACAGTGCACGTGAGTAAACAGGAGCTGTTGATGCGAAGAGCAGGTTTCCCGAGTGGCCCTTCCAGCTGGTGCTCAAGCTCCCTCTGCCCCACAGTTAATCCCTACAGTGTGCCGTGTTTGACCCTGTGGGCCAGGCCCTGGAGTTGGAGCACAGAACAAGACTGATGGGATCCCTGTTCTGGTGGGGGCACTACTAACCGCTACACAGGCTGAGGCATCCTGTACCAGGGGAATCAGAGGGGGACTCAGGTGCCAGAAGGACACAGCCTCAAAGACAGCTAGCTGGTGTCCCCTCGTCACAGGAACGAGCCCTTTGTCTTCACCCTTACTCTTTCAGTACCACAGCTGTCTGTCAGTGTGCTGTTTCCCGGGTGTGGGGGGCGCGTATCATGACTGACTTCATCCTCCTTGTTTCTCAAAGGGTGTGAACCTCCAGAAGCTCCTGGAAGCTGGAACCTTTATCTGTCAAGCCCTTAACAGAAAAACCAGTTCCAAAGTGGCTCAGGCTACCTGTAAACTGTGAGCCCCTTGCCCACCCAAAGCTCAGGGACTGTGGGATGGGGTCTTGCCTGGATGATTCACTGATGGGCTCATGGAAATGGGAACAAATGGACAGGAACGGGCACCTCACTGCCAGCCCCGCACACAGCTCTCTCCTGGTAGAAAGGAGGCAAGGGACAGGAGCTGCTTTGCCTCAGGCCCTCCCTGCCAGAATAGAACTAAGAGGCTTGGGGGCCTGGGGACCTCCCTTCCCCATGGACCCAACAGCCCAGGAGTTGAATCCATAGGGCTGCTTGGGAACCCAGTTCCCTGGCTTGGGTTGATCCTCAGGTCTTAACCTCTGGATGAAATCTGACAGGTGATTACACAGCTCAACCCAACTGTGGCCTTGGCCATTGCTCTCTAACTTCAGAGGGCAAAAGGGCATGGAGGGTTTTTTCCCCAAGCTGGCAGAGGGCATTTGCTGAAGGGGTGAAGGCTCAGTTCTGCATTGGTTACCAGCCAAATTTAGCCTCTCTGGAAAATCACTCTGAACATAGTTTTTTAAAACAGCTATGTAATTAAAGGTTTAATGATGCTGAACCATTCCAGGATCCTACAGATGTGTATATATATGAGAGTGGGAGAATAAAATGTCTTCATTGGCACTCTGAGAGGTAAATGCAGACTGTTCATTTCTGGATTCATTCTCTATTTCCCCACCTGACTCCCAAATTTACAGCGACTGGAAACTGATGGCTTTGGGCTTACTCGAGCTGGCCAGAATGCCCTGGGAAGACTGTTTCTTGCCTCGGCCCGCGAGGCAGTCAACGGGGTCCGCCGATATACCTGTAACGGATGAAGAGGGATGGGACAGGAGGCGCAAAGAATGGCAGCAAGACAAAAGATTCTGATCAAACTGCAAATTTATTTCAAAATGGAGGTAGTTATATAGAGGAGGGCAGTGGAGGAAGTGCAGTGGATAGGTGGCTTCAAAGCGTGCTCTAGCCTGCGATTGGCCGGGGGGTGCATGGTGGGCACTTGATCAAGGCACTGATTGGTGTGCCACCTGCATGTCCAGGAGGGGGAGTTCTATGGCTCCTGACTGCAGCATCCTGTTATTCAGGCACAACCTTCAGGTTTGATTGTATCAGCCTGTTTCAGGCTTATCCCAGCCCCCAACATCTCCTCCCTTATTTTTATTTTTAAGGTGAGGAGTGGACATTAACCAGCTAGGGGAGGCAGAGGTCTGGCTCCTCCCGAGCTCTGAAGCACCCTTTTCGGAGGAGAGGGTTGGGGCGCTGACCTCTATGCAAGCCGACTTGCCTCTCAGGAGACATGGCAGGGCCACCTTCGGGGTAGCTTCTCCTTGCAATGCTTTGCTCTGCACCTAGCGGTATCCATTACAATTTATATGTAAAGTATAATGCCAAGAGTTATACTGTTCTCGTAGGAGGTGGGGGTGTAAAAGGGAGTTTATGTGCGAGGACATTCTCGGAGAAAACGCTGCGAGTCAGTGCCAAGTTCATTCATTTCTAGTTGGTGATAATGTATCTGGATAGGTTTGCCAAGAAGGGAGTTAAGTTGGTCTCGGATGAGGTTTGTGGTGCGCCTGAGAACCCAGGGAGCAAAGGTCAGGAAGAGAATGATAGCTATTAAAGGCCCGAGGAGAGGGAGAAGAAAGGGGAGTAGTCTGTTGAAGGCTGTAAGGAAAGGGCTCTCAGTCAGAGCTTTTCGTCGTCTTTCCAGATCTTCTTGAAGGGTCTTGATCTTGTCCCGGACGATGCCTGACTTGTTGGCATAAAAGCAGCATCGTTCCTGTAAAGCTAAACAAATACCTCCCTGCTCTGCTGTGAGTAAGTGTAGACCTCGTCTATTCTGTAGGACTACTTCTGCTAGGGAATCTAATTGGTCTTGAATGTCAGTAATAGTATTTGATAAGGCTTGGACATCATCGACAAGTTGTTTGGAAAGTTTTGTATAGGAGTGAACTGCAACTCCTAATCCTGCAGTTCCGGTAGCTACCACTCCAGAGACTCCTAGACCAACAAGCAGGGGAATAATAGCTAAGGCTCTTTTGTGTCGTCCTGCGAAGTGGTCAAAAGCAGGAACGGGGACAGGCTCATCTCCTGGGATGATGTCTATGTCAGGTAATAAGGCAGCTAGGGCACATAGCCCTGTCCAATTGGCGGGCAGGGTGGTGAAAGCTAGATTATTACCACAAACGAATGCTCGTCCTGGGCCAGGGCAGAGGGATGTGCTGTAATTAAGCATGTGGCTACAATTGGTAAAGCTAGCGAAACCAACAGAAATATCAAAAGAATTATTTTGTGAACCTTTATAGATACAAGGGGAGGAGTAAAAGAGCATAGGCTGAACTCTAAAGGGTATGCTGAGGGTACAGTTTTGTTCGGTGATATTCAGGGCTGACATGTTGGTGGAGACAGCTAGAGGCATGGGGGTGCCTTGGCTTAAGCATAACTAGCAATCTTGGGCTAGTGTAGGGTTGGAAATATTTAGCACCCGATGGGTGGCTGTCAAAATGTCTGTCGTTTGGGTATCTGGATCTACTCCTCGTGACTTGGGAAGAGCCAGAGGGTGATGGGTGAGTTTAGGGAATTGGTTTTCAATGAGCTGTTCTATTTGGTTCTGGACGGTGAGTTCTCTTATGCTATCTTGAGGCCCACCTCCATCAGAAGTGTGAATAGGAGGAGTTTGTTCCCAGCACACTGACTGTCCTACAGTGCCCTGGCAGGCGGCTTGTAAGTATTTGGTGGAACTAAGGCCAATGGGTGATGAGCTATCTCCCCAGTCCCCTACGTTGGCAGCATTTTTTGTTTTCTGGAGTATGGCAGTAAAATATGCCTTATTGCCAAGGGTACACTCTTGAACATTATTGTAGCAAGAAGAGTGCATTGTTGGATAAAAGGTGGTGCATGGGCATGGTCCTGGCTTTCCATTAATGGCAGGTATGATAGGAGGCTTAGGTACGCAGGACCATGTGGGTTTGGACATCCCCCCTGTTGTTGTGGGTGAATAAGCTAGGTAAGCTGTTTTTGTGTTGCAGTCTACTACCTGAGTATAAGACGAGGGGATGGCATGATCGGTAGTAGTTCCTCCACGGCATTCACACGGTGGCCCAAAGAGGACGTGGTAAATATTGCCAGGCGGCGCTTGAAGCCCTCCATATGTTCTTAGGTGTAAGAGTGCTTGTAGTAACAGGAAGAAGAGCCATTGGGAGAACATGTTTTACCTGAAATAGAAAGAAGAGAAAATCTCTTCAGGGCGTATTATTATTCCCTGGGATTTGATTAGGTTCAACTGGTGGGGCGGGGCGATGATTGACATGTTTTATTAGCCTTTCGGGGAGCCATCGTGGGCCATCTTCTTTTTGATCATAAATGCAGGCTGAGCCTCTCCCCCATATGAGGACGGGGTCTGGGATCTAGTAACAGGGAATGCTAAAGTCTCGTGGGGAGGGGGACTGATCGTAAGAGCGGAGAGTTCATTGGCAATGGTTTTAGTATCTCGGATGAAAGTGAGGGTTTCCTGAAGGAAAGGCTTTGGAAGCGGAGTGAATGCAGCGGTGGCCGCCAGGGGCAAGGTAGTGGGTGCCTTGCACGCCGCGGGTGAAATGGCGGCGGCGGCCAGTCAGGATTATTGTAGCGAGCGGCTTTGTCCTCTAATTCTGCCTGTTCAGAGGGGTCTAACTGGCCGCCGGGGTCCTGGGAATTGGTGGGTGGAGCAGAGGAATAGAACTCCTGAAGGGGAGGGTACAGAGAAGGGACTTGAGGGTCTGTATCTATTCGGATGGAGACAGAAGGACAATTTGAAGGCGCTCGTGAGGGGGGTCGCGAAAGCGAGTCAGCACGAACGTCGGGAAGGCCGTGGACTGAGGGGGCTTTGGAGGGGGCCGGGGAGTGACTGCGGAGAATTTCTTGCCCTTCTTTGCAAAGGCGCTGTATGTCAGGGGAATTATTGTGGTTTTTAAGGATGTCTGTTATGAGGTTATAATAGTCAAAGGCAGTTATAGGGATAGTCTCGGAGCCAAAAACTTTATAATAGTCATTTAGACAGTCGCCTACACGGTGCCAGACGCGGGAGTCAATGCTACCCTCCTGAGGAAACCATGGGCAGATTTTAAAAACGAAAGTGAAAAAAGAATTCAAATCTTTTTTACGAACTCTTATCTTGCGCACCTTGAGAGACTCTTTTCATTGAGCAACGAACAAATCATGTTGTGAGCATGCCTGTCCCATGGCTGGGTCTTACCTTTGAAATGCCGCTGTCGGGGAAATGCCGCTGTCGGGGAAATGCCGCTGTCGGGGAACGGGGGTCGTCAGGGAATGCCGGCGCGCGGTGGAGTAGTCGCCGTGAGCCGAGCGAAACGCTGCGATCGAAGGGGACAGCGGTCCGCACAGGCGATCAGCGGGGCCCCACGTTGACTGAAGCCCGCGAGGCAGTCAACGGGGTCCGCCGATATACCTGTAACGGATGAAGAGGGATGGGACAGGAGGCACGAAGAAAGGCAGCAAGACAAAAGATTCTGATCAAGCTGCAAATTTATTTCAAAATGGAGGGAGTCATATGGAGGAGGGCAGTGGAGGAAGTGCAGTGGATAGGTGGCTTCAAAGCGTGCTCTAGCCTGCGATTGGCCGGGGGGTGCACGGCGGGCGCTTGATCAAGGCACTGATTGGCTCCTGAACGCAGCATCCTGTTATTCAGGCGCAACCTTCAGGTTTGATTGTATCAGCCTGTTTCAGGCTTATCCCAGCCCCCAATAGTTTCTGAGGCCCTTAGCTCTGACCAGGGCTGCTGCACGGGCTCTTTTAAGGCCGCAGGAGCCATCTGCTCCTCTGGGTCTGGGCTAGAGCCCGTGGGTGTGCTTGGCTCTTTGTATGTCAGGCTCTACCAGCCATCAGTCGTCCTTGTGCAGGTTTGGGGAAACACTTGCGCATTTATTTACTGGCTCTGGTTTCATCACACAGTATGACATGCCTTTATACACATCACTCCCTAGCCATACCTTTATGTTAAACAGAAACATGATCATTTTTTAATTCACTATGATAGGCGGGGTGCAGACAAACCATTCTCAGTCCGTGTGAAGGCTGAGCGCAGTCGGCACGCAGTTCCTACTTTGTGTTCACCTCGTTTTGTGTGGACCTTTCAGCGGGATGGGGCTGGGGGAGGCTTCAACATCCGGAGCTGAGTCCAGCGGGAAGCAGCTGGGGAAGGGCGAACTGCTTGGGTTAGGGACTGGCCTAGGAGCCCGGAGGTCCTGATTCTGGCCCAGCTATCACTAGCTGTGTGGCAACAGGCAAATTACTTTATTCTGACTTTAGTATTCTGGTCTGTAAAGTGCCAGTGATAATACCTACCTGATAATAAAGCTTCCAGTTCTTTGGTAGGTTTTCAAGCTATGCTTCCCAGCACCTGCCGCTTCTAAGGTAACGCGCACCGTTTCCTTCTATCAGCACCGCCCCTTACTGTCTTCCTTCCACGCAGTTGTGTGTTCATGCAAGGCTCACGCTGATGAAAGGGTTTAGCAGATACAAAAAGCTTGGAAAACCTGCGGGTGAGCTGGGAGCCCCAGCTCCTGGGGCGCTGCCCTCCGCCTGTTTCCAAGGGTCGGGACAAGCGCTGGATCATGGCGCAGAAACCGGGAGCACCCTCCGTGGGAGCAGATCTCTGCTGCTTGCCTCCGAGACCTGAGTCTGGCCGCGGGCCACTTTGGCACTGGACTGTGCTGCCCACTGCTGGCCTTTGTAGGGCGCGCTCTTCGATCCCCAGCTCCTTTGGTCCTCCCGGCGTCCCGTACTGCGGTCTCCTCGAGTGACGCGTTCCTTTTGGGTGTGAGAGGGCGGGACCATGTGGGCTGTCAGCTCTTAAAGGGACCGAGGCTCCGGAGGCGGTAACGCTAGAGGCAGCGTGGAACCTGCAGTCCCGATCAGGTTCGGGAAGGGAATGTGGGGCTGAACTGTCGGGCTCGCGAGGGGCCGGGTGGTCTACTGGGAGCGAGCGAGAGCTTTGGGGGCCGGGCCGTGTTCTGGGCAGAGTATCGCCAGGGCTGGCCCGCTCCAGCTGCTGCGGCTGGGGCGGCCCGAGGTCATTCATTCCCAGTCTGGGGACGCCTTGTGCGGCCCCCTTCTAGCTGTGACCCCCAGGCCCAGGGCCCCGTCCCACCCATTATGCAGACTGGAAAAACCAAGGAGACATCAGCTAGGGCCCGGGGTGGTTCGCTTCACCAACCTTCCTGCCTCGCAGGGCACCCTCCGCGACCACTTTCTGGAGATCCGCACGGTGCGTGGATCTCAGTGGGATGGGGGTAGGGGAGGTTTCGACATCCGGAGTAGAGTCCAGCGGGAAGCAGCTGGGGGAAGGGCGAACTGCTTGGGTTAGGGGCTGGCCTAGGAGCCCGGAGATCCTGATTCTAGCCCAGCTATCACTAGCTGTGTGACAACAGGCAAATTACTTTCATCTGACTTTAGTATTCTGGTCTGTAAAGTGCCACTGATAATACCTGCCTCATTAGGATACTGGGAGAATTCAGGAAAATAATACAAAAGTTCCCGGTATACTGAGGGTTCTCTGCCAAACTGGTTGGAGCTGGATGAACCCTGGAGGCAATTGAGGCAGCCTGGAGGAGGAAGACTGCTTCTAGCAGGGCTGCCTCGAATGAAAGACCTCAGTGTTTGGTGCTTTCCACCCTGTCCTCCCCCTCTGCCTGTGGAGTTTGTTCAAGGCGGGGTGCATACCTGGCAGTGGAGTAGGCGCCAGGGCCACGTCTACACTGGCCAGCTCAGGGCTGCCTAGAGTTGGGTGGGATCCTTAGCTCCAAACTGCGAGTGCTCTTGCTGGCCCAGGCAGGGCCAAAGGCTTAGCCAGCCTGGCTGACCTGGGGTGGGGTGGGGTGGGGCCAATGCCAGGAAAGCAGTGTTACAGTCCCAGAGCTTGGGCTCAGCCTGCCTGGCAAAGGACCCCACCCTGAGGCTGGCTGGTAAGTTTCCTGCTTCCTCCCTTTTGACCCTGGAGGGACAGCAAGGCAGGAGGGCTGTGTACAGCTGGAGCCCAGGAGCCAGTTTATACCTAGTGGTGGCAGGACTGGGAAAGCCTGAGTCTGAGCAGGCAGAATCCCTTCCTGGGCTCTTGGAGTTCCAGCACTGCTGCCATATCGGTTTCTGCCCAGAACTGTTCAGTTCCCAGACGCCTTGGGGAAGAAGTGTGGAGGCTTAGATTCCACCTTCCCATCCCAGGGCCAGTTGGGTCTAGAAAATACGGCACCTGTGTGGGTCTCTCCACCTGTACCATGTGACAGGCCTTTAAAATCACCTCATTTAAATCTTACACTACCACAAGGCATTTGTACAGTAAGTCCCATGTTATAAAGATGGAAACTGAGGCAAAGAGAAGGTAAGGGATGGTATCTAAACTTGGACCAGGGCTGATTCCAGAGTCACCCTATTAAATGGGACACACTACTGCCTCCCTCCAAGGCCAGATTTCCGTTGGAAGGAGGCCCTGAGTGGCCATTGCAAGCTACCTCTGAGACTCTGTGTCCTGGGCCAGGTGCAATGGCAGAGAAGGTGCTGGTGACGGGCGGGGCTGGCTACATTGGCAGCCACACAGTGTTGGAGCTGCTGGAGGCGGGCTATTTGCCTGTGGTCATCGACAACTTCCATAATGCCATCCGTGGTGAGTGCAGGGGTGGGGCTGGGGCTTCTGGAGAGGTCAGAAGGAAAACCCTGGGGTCCGCCTTCAGGGGGGTGTGTATCTTGGCTAGTCCCCAGTACCCCACCTCCTCTGATTTTGATGGCCTCTGTGTGCCCAACCAGGAGGGGGCTCCATGCCTGAGAGCCTGCAGCGAGTTCAGGAGCTGACAGGCCACTCTTTGGAGTTTGAGGAGATGGACATCTTGGACCAGGCAGCCCTGGAACGTCTCTTCAAGAAGGTGGGGAGCTGGCAGGCAGGCAGAGGGCACTGCCATGGGCTGGGGCCTGTGGAGCAGCATCTGACCTGGCTCTGTGCCTGCAGCACAGCTTTGCGGCAGTCATCCACTTTGCGGGGCTCAAGGCCGTGGGCGAGTCAGTGCAGAAGCCTCTGGACTATTACAGAGTTAACCTAACGGGAACCATCCAGCTCCTGGAGGTGAGATGTGGGGCAAGGCACAGGCACTGGGAGGGCCCCTGGCCAGGTGGGCAGTGCCAAACACAGTGAGTACGGGGGTCAAGTCAGGCAGGGCCCAAAGCTGTATCACCTTGGACACATGTCTTTCTTTACCTCTCAGCCTCGGTCTCCCCATCTGTAAATGGGAGTGCCCATACTTCGGCCCCACCTACCAGTGAAGGAGTAAAGGGCTGGGAATAACTCGGGAGGCAGAGGCCACTGACACCTCTCCTCCACGGCCAGATCATGAGAGCCCACGGAGTGAAGAGCCTGGTGTTCAGCAGCTCAGCCACTGTGTACGGGAACCCCCGGTACCTGCCCCTGGACGAGGCCCACCCCACGGGGGGCTGTACCAACCCCTATGGCAAATCCAAGTTCTTCATTGAGGAAATGATCCGGGACCTGTGCCAGGCAGACAAGGTGAGGGAACCCAGCGCTGGCTCTGCCCCCGTGAGTCTGAGGACAGGATCAGAGGCAACCCCCACCAAGGAAGCTAGGGCTCAGGAAGTGGCAGCCACTGCCCAAGGTCACAGCACCTGGGGGAGGACCCAATCTCCCAGCCCCTTTCTAGGGATAGAGAACAGGGATGGGGGGCAAGAGGTAAAGGACTCTGGGTTGAGTTGGGACCCAGCCTGCACCCTCGCCCTGCCCCCGACCTGTGTTCTAGACCTGGAATGCAGTGCTGCTGCGCTACTTCAACCCCACGGGCGCCCACGCCTCGGGCCGCATTGGTGAAGATCCTCAGGGCATCCCCAACAACCTCATGCCCTATGTCTCCCAGGTAAGGAAGAAGGGGAGGGACGGGGGTTACCCTAGGTTTTAGGGGAACAGTGGGTGCTGAGGGCCTGGGAAGAGCTGACCTGACCTCCACCCCAGGTGGCGATTGGGCGACGGGAGACACTGAACGTCTTTGGCAATGACTATGACACAGAGGATGGCACAGGTGAGCCCAGGATGAGCATCCAGGAGTGGGAGCCACGAGGGAGACTGAGGTGGCACAGACTATACTAAGCCCTCCCAACCAACCAACCAACTCCCCTGCAGGCGTCCGGGATTACATCCACGTGGTGGATCTGGCCAAGGGCCACATCGCGGCCCTGAGGAAACTGAAAGAGCAGTGTGGCTGCCGGGTAGGGAGAGAAAGGAGGATCGAGGGGAGGGAGGTGGAGTTCTAGGAAAATGGGGCCCAGAGGGGTGCTTAGGCCAGCCCCTTCCATTGTACCTGTCCTCTCCTGGGCAGATCTACAACCTGGGAACCGGCACAGGCTATTCGGTGCTACAGATGATCCAGGCCATGGAGAAGGCCTCCGGGAGGAAGGTGAGCGCCTACCCTGCCCGGCCCACTGACTCCCAGCAGTAGACCCGGCCCCTCCTACTGGCCTACCTCCGGGGCGCTGCCATCTCTACTCAGTCTGCCTTAGCACTGTGTGCCTGCAAGAGATCCGGCCCCGGGCTCCACTCCTTGAGGGTCCAGTCAGAAGCTGGCTGGGTGAGGCCACGGCTGGCTCAGCTAAGCTACGACTGTCCCCTCTCTTGTAGATCCCATACAAGGTGGTAGCACGGCGGGAAGGTGACGTGGCTGCCTGTTATGCCAACCCGAGCCTGGCCCTCCGGGAGCTGGGCTGGACAGCAGCCTTAGGGCTGGACAGGATGTGTGAGTGCTAGCCCGACCCCTGGGAGACAGCCAGGGGCCAGGAGGCACTGGCTGGGTCTGGATGTGCCCCGAGGTGGTGGCCGCCCTGCACTGCAGTGTGGATCCTGACCACACGCCTCACCCGATCACAGGTGAGGATCTGTGGCGCTGGCAGAAGCAGAATCCCTCAGGCTTCAGCACACGGGTCTGACACTCTCTCCTACCACGAACCGGAAGGGAGAAACAACTGCCTGCTCACCAGCATCTGGCAGGAACCCAGGGGCCTCAGAGCCTGCCCTGCCTCAAACCCTGTGGGCCTGTCCAGCCTACAGGCATGAGGCCAAGGGCTCCACGGATCAGGAGGCAGGGGTCTCTAACTCTTCGCCTCCACAGGGTCTGGGAACACAGGGCCCATCAAGATCACCAAGACCAGAGTGGGCGAGGTGGGGCCCCGAGACGACAACACCCTGCTCCCAGGCACTAATTTATATTGTTATGAAGGCACTCTCCAAAATGTTTAAAATAAAAGGCTTTCTTACCCTGAAGCATTTTCTCACACATGGTCTCTCCCTACCCCTTGGACAGAACCAGCCAGGCCTGAGAGTTGAAGCAATTTCTTTAATTTTATCGGAATCCAGGACACAACAAGAAAAACACCCAAACCCACATGGAGACAGAAGACGAGACACAACTCCTCCCCCACCTCCCCTGGCCCTGGAGTGGGGACAATGTGAGGGTGACGTGGCTAGGGAAGACCTTGGGCCTCGGTCCAGCCCTGCAGGCTCCAGGCCCGCAGGGGTGGTGACAGGGAGACAGGGCCCAGCCCCCGAGTCAGAAAGGGCTGAAGGAAGGCCCCCTCCAAGGATTCTGCCCCCTCACCAACACTGCCCAGGAACAGGTAGCCCACAGCAGCAAGGGGGCCTGGGGTCACGGACACATTCATGATTGAGAAGCAGCTGGAGTGGAGGCAGGAGAGACGCACGATTATCTTGGGCAGAATCAGTT